GGCCGGGGAACCCGGGTCGGTACCGAGGAGGCGTGGCGGGTCTCCGAGCTGGGAGGAATCGCCTGCGCCCGACAATCACCCCGCCCGCAGCCCGGGAGGCTGAGGCTCAGGGACGGAGAGTCCGGGATCACCCCAGAGCGTCCGGGTCCGGGTCCGGGTCCGGGTCCGGGTCCGGCAGCACGCCCCCGTCACACACAGATTGGGCCGGCTGAGTCGGCGAATAAGGGGAGACGGAAGGAACAAAGGAACGGGTGAGTGAGGGGGTGAACGGACAGACGGGCAGAATCGGGGTGTGGAGGAGGATGGAGCGCCGGCTCCCGCAGACGCGTCCGCCCGGGGCCCTCTCTGAGCCTCGGTCTCCTCCTTGGAGAGTGGCACTAGTGCTGAGTGTGAGCTAGTACCTCGGGATCAGGAAATGCCTAAAAGCTGATGGGGTGTCATGGCAAAACTGCAAAGGTTGGTTTTCTTTCCCCCTAAGGCTTAAAACCCCAGCGGCCCTTCCACTACCCTGGCACTTGAGAAGATCAGGTTCCTCAACACCCACCCTGTTTGTGCCAGGCCCTGTTCCTATGTTGCACACTTACTACCCCCTTTTACAGAGAGCAAGCCCCACCAGGAGGTAGGAACTTGCTCACCCTCTGGACAGGGTTAGCATTAGGGCTCGTGCCCCACGTTCCCACAGGGTCCCAAGGCAGCCCTGAGTGGGAGGCTCCTGGGGGTCAGAAGCAGGGAAGCTGGGGAACCTGAGGCCCCAGGGGCCCATCGCATCCACTCTCGGTGTCCACGCACTCCCACTGGGTCTTCTGGGCTGGAACCATCTGAAAGGGCTTGGTAGTGCCAGCACCTCCTCGAGACTCCCGCTTCGACCCCACAGGACACCAGAGGGGGTCTGTCACTCTCTCAAGGTCACACAGTGAGAAGATGGAACCCTAGCAGCCTGTCCCCAGCCTCACCCCCTCCAAAAATCTTGAAGCAGATGTTTCTCAGCTTCTTTCAGAGATGAAGGGAGTCAGGTCCACGGAGGGGCAGCCCCTGGCCAAGGTCAAGCATCTGGGACTTGAACTAAGAGCCCCTGACCTGCTTCCTGGGAGGGCGAGGGGGAGTGGGGGGTGGGGCGAGGGGGGTCCGAGGAGAGAGCCAAGTCGTTGGAGTCAGGGACAGTGCACAGTTGATCTGCAGCTCCTCCACCACTGGGGCTGAGGGGCATTTCTCTGGGCCAAAGCCCCTACACCCCGGAACAACTATCCTTAAGCAAGCCAGCAGGCACCCCCACACACACTCAAAATAACTCAGCCCACCCCCAGGACATGACAAGCTCCTGCATGGAAACTGCAGGACCTGGATTTTCCATCTGTGGTGTGGCAGAGACACGGCGTGGGAGACACGTCCCAGCAACCCCCCCTTTCCAACCACACACCCCAGGAGCTGGGAGGGCACATCCTGAAAATGCAGCTTCCTCCCCCAGACTTCCTACAAGGTGGCCAGAAGAATCAGGTTACTTGCCCAGAAGGTCGCCCCCGCCCCATCTGAGCAGGGGTGGAGCTGTTGCCAGGGGACCCGTCTCAGTCTGGGGAGGCGGGGCATCCAGCACTCCTCCCAGCGAGGCCCTGCCCCAGGCAGGCTCAGGCTCAGCCTACTGCCTTCCCCGGTGCACTCACCAGGGAGGGGCAGGCCCCAAGGAAAGGCACTTCAGACATCCATTCAGTCCCTCATTCACTCATTCATACCTTGGAATCACCTGACAAAGTACGGGTGAAGGTGTGGGTGTTACATTCTTATTAGCCGGCACCGTTGCACTTTTGTTCACTTTAACAGTGGACTCAACTTTCAGTTAAGGTAGAGGTGTGACCTTATATTGGAGTCAACAAAACGCAGGTTCTTTATCGGAGTACCTACTGTGTGCTGGCAGGGGGCGGTCACTGGGAGGGGCTGGCCCGGGTGCGCAGAGGCTGGGTGGGAAGGCACAGGGCCTGTCCTGATGAGCTCACCAGATGGCTGGAGGGAGGGTGGGCATGAGGCTGGAGCACCAAAGTGGCCATCCTCCCCGCCCTGCTGACCTCAGTCTCACTTGTCCTCAAAATACCTGGGCAGGGTCAGGATTAAAATGTAGTGAGGGCAGCAAGGATTAGGATCAGAGTTAGGATTAGGCCTGGCTCTCCTGCTGGAATCTGCTTAGGCCCCTCGCGGGAGAACCCAGGGCAATGAGGCCACCCTTGGGGACAGAGTGGGGCTGGGAGCCCGGTAGCTTCTTCCTCACCTGCAAGCTGGAAGGTGCTGACGGTCACTAAGCCCCTAACTGGGTACCAGGCCTCGCCTGTGTCCCCTGGAGACTGGACCAACTCCCTGTGCCTGGTGGTCACTCCTAAGCACTGGCGCTCAGGGCTCAGAAGGCTGTGGCTTCCTCTCGCCCGACTGTCTCAGCTCAGCCTGCAGGACTCTGGGCTCGTTCCCAAATGGACTGCTGTGACGATCAGAGAGGGGTGGCTGGGGGTGGGCAGAGAGGGGTCTGCATGCAGTAGAGCCGCCTGAGTGCAGCCTCTAGTCACCTCTTTCTGTACTTCTCCTGGGGCTCAGGCCACGTGGGAGTCGTCTCCCTGACAGAGGCTCCATTCCCTCTGAGGGCCCCAGGGTAGAGGCTGCCCCTCCACTGTGCCTGTGATAGGCTGTGACACTTGGGCAGGACTGGCAGAGGGACGGGTAGCCTCAGTGTTTCCTTCTGCAACTGCACAACAAGCACAGGATGACACCCCCAGCAGCCCGGCTTACTGGGACGCACCCCTGCAGTGGCGAGCATAGGTACCGGGGCCGGCTTCCTTCAGAACCGAGTATCCTGCTAGCACTGCTCCTAGCACTTGGCGACCTTCGAGTCACAGGCAGAGTGACCCTCCGGGTTTCAGCACTGAGCCGCTGTCCTGCCCCGGGAGTCCCCTGGGCCACCCTGACCCACAGTCCCCTCCCTGTCCCCACCCCCGCCCCGGAGAGTGCTGGCACCACCATCTGTCTGCTCACTCCCAGCCCTGAGCTCCAGGCACTCGCTCACTCAGTGCTTCTGACCGACAGTGAACCAGTGAGACAAACTCAGTGCCCAGAGCCCAAGCCTTCGTGGGGTCCTGCCATGTAAGACAAGCCCGTGAGCCATCTTCATGGAGACTTGGTCTCCACCTGCTTCTCTGAAAACGTGAGAGAAAATGGGGGTCACCACACTACCCACTCAGTCAGGCTCCCATTCACACCCCTTCCGTCCCTGCCCCCAAAGCCAGGACGCTGGGCAAGGAGACTCACGCAGAGCTGCTGAGCACGGACGCAGGCCCTCTGGGGCCAGGGTATTATGACTGGTGAGGAAGGTGAGGGAAAGGGTCATGGGCACTACGGGAGGGCCCCTCCTCGCTGACTGGACAGCCCAGCACAGCAGGGGCTGAGTTCGCTTCCCAAGGGCTCCTGGGTGCCCCAATTCTGAGTCCTCCCTGGGCAAGAAGTGCTGGGGCTCAGACTGTGCAGGGGAGGCCTGGGGGCTCTCTGGGTCACTGGGGCACCTGACCCCACAGAAGCCTCCACACGCTGGGGAAGGGGGTTATTCCAGGGGGTGGGGCAGGAGAGCGGCCTTGGCTGGACAGTGAGGCTAAGCCACGGCTCAGCCTCGACATCTGGACACACACGGGGCACTAAGTGTGCCAGGCAGCACAGTCTCCATGTCCTGCAGCCGCCCAGAAAGAGGGCTGCCAGATGTAACAAACACACACACAGGACTCGGTGAAATCTGACTCCTAGATGAGCAACAAACCGTTCGATGTTAAGTACGTCCCAAATACCGTCTCGGATATACACCTGTTCCTGTCATTGCAGTCTGTGTGTCCCGTCGTTCACCTGGCAGCCCCACCCACAAACCCCAAGCCGGGAAAACAAGCAGTGACAGTGGGGTCCAGTCTGGGCAGGCCCAGGGTCCCCCACACAGCCTGGGACAGGGAGGCTCTTGGCAACTTCCCCCCCGCTTCCTGGCCCCACAGACACAGCCTGTGCGTCAGTCTCCAGGTGTGGCCCTGGCGGATGCCTGGCTCCTTCATCAAGGAGGGGCTGGAGCAGGTTCACCTCCTGGCTTGGTACCTCCACATGGGGTCAGAATGTAGGAGCTCACAAAAGACCTCCTCTCCCCCTGTGAAGACACTGGATAAACTAAAGCAAGAACACAGCAACACGTCTCCACAGAGGCGGAGGCCCAGGTGTGGTCGTGGTGGGGCTGGGATGGGAATCAGAGAAGCCCTGCAGCAGGAAGGGCCTGGTTGACTTCAAGACCCCTGGACCAGAGGTGAACTGAAACCACACAAGCAGAGACCTGGCAGCCCCGGGATGGACTCTGGAGACATCACCTTGGCAGCCGAGAAGCCTTCCTGAGGCAAGTGGGACCCACGTTCCTCGTCATAGGCCCTGTTGTTCAATGCCCAGTGACAACCGACAGAACAGGAAGCTCCTGGTCGACAGCAATGCCCCCCAACTCCAGTCTCCCGAGAGCCCCCCTCACTGCGGCCCTGCTCCCTCCCGAGGAAACTGCCAGTACTCTGGCCCGGCACCGCCCTCTGGCCTCAGGGCTCCCTCCAACCCAGCTGCCACCATTCCTGCCCCCAGACTTGGCTCCTTCTCCCCAGAAGGCCAGCCCCTCTCCGGAATGCCTGTCCGACCCCATGAGGGGAGTGACCCCTCCTGCCCGGCGAGAGCTCCCGGTGCTCGGATGGGCATCAGGCGCAAGGACAAATCTCACCCAAGGACTTTTCTTGGAGCTACTGGTGAAGAGGCTCTCTGCAGGGACCACAGATTTCAGGTCGCGTCCTGGGGCTTCTGGTGGCGCCTCAGGCACCATGCAGGGCCAAGCACAAAGCAAGTGAGGAAGAGGGAGCAGAACGCTGACGTCACGATGACACTGGCCCTGGAGTCTGCTCCTGTGCCCTGGACGCACCTGGACATGCCCTGGACACTCCCCTGCCGGTGCAAGAGTGACCCTCACCCCAGCACGGCGCTGACCTGCCACCACCACAGGGGCACGACTGGGTCCCAGCTGGTGGGAGGAAGGCACGCAGGCACGGGGAGCTCAGCAGGGCACTGGTGGGATCCAAGTCAACACGATGGAAGTAACGCGTTTACAGACAACCATCAAAAAGGGGGGAACTGTGGCCCGTAACTGTGGGGGGAAGAGTAGTAACAGAAGCATCTCCAGAAGTGATCCGGATGCTGTTGCACAGACTTACAGGAACTTTATAAAAAGGATAAAGAACACGCACACAGATGTAAATTGGAGCATTTCAGCAAATAAATGAAAAACACAAGTGCAGACACTAGAATTAAAATACACAGCAAACGCGCTGACGATGCCGTGTGGCAGACCAAGTGAGACCCCAGAACAGCAGAGGGCAGGTGGGAGAGAACAGAGGGACACGTGGTCCGTGCACATCAGGGTGTCCCCGTGTACCTGGGACCAGGGGGACTGAGGCGCAGCAGACATTGGAACAGGTATTGGCCAGGACGGCCCCACACTGATGGAAGGCATCCACCCTCAGGTTCACGGGGGAAGCTACACCAGGTGCGTCACCACCAAACAAAGAAAACCGGTCAGAAAACGCGTACGTGTATTTGGGAACACGAGTTAAGAGTGACCAGGTGTTTCTCAGAAACAAGAGAAGCCAGGAATATATGGAACATCTTCAAAATGCTGAAGGAAGTTTTAAAAAAAGTGCTTGAAAAACAAAGGCGTTAGGACTTTCCCACCAAGGAGGGCTCCAAGCATCACAGCCGACTCCCTTTACCGAGACCTCGGAACCCGGGACCCACAGGAAGGGTGAGCGCCCACCTCCAAGTGGCTGGGGAAAACACTGGTCAGAACAGCCAAACCCCAAACCCGAGGGGGTCAGGGAGCAGCGGGCAGGAACACAAACGATGCAGCTGCTCCGGACGGCAGGTAGGAGGGTCCTCACAAGACTTTACATCACCACCCAGCTCAGCTCCTGGGTCCTCAGCCAACTGAGGTGAGAGACCCTGTGTCCAAACAAAAACCCACCCGTAGCAGCCCACAGGGAAACCACCGGGAGCCCATCAGCAGGTGCACAGGTAAGCACCCTGGTCCGTCCAGACGGGGATGTCGCTCTGCGTGAAGGAATCAGCTGGAAGCCATGAAAAGCCTGGAGGAAACTCAGACGCACATGACCAAGGGCAGGAGGCCAACCTGAAAAGGCCACACCCTGCTCACAGCGGGAGGCGTCACAAGAGCTATGGAGATGAGGATGAGGGCAGAGCTCCCCCGAGAGCAGGGGCCAGGACATGGGGCACAGCTCCTCCAAAGCACCAAAGCAAAAGCTCCAACCGAAGTGAGTCCTTAGTCCCTCATCCAGATGCTGGCACAGCCAGCCCTGCGAGGCCCGGCCCTGACGCCGGCTCCTGATCCGCCTTCCACCCGAGGCCTCCCTTCCCAGCTGGAGTGCGGTCACACGGTGGCTGTGAAGACTCCAGGGCCGCAGACCGGGAACAGAACCTGCCCCCCACCCCGCTGCCCTCAGCCTCCCTGCTGGGACGGGGGCCCCTCCCAGCTCTGCCCCTGCTGTGGCCCCAGCAGCTCCCAAGCCCCAGCGGCCTGATGGCACCACGCGCACCCAAGGGCTTCAAATCAAGTTTAATAAATAAAACAGCACGGGGTCAAGGCAGTCATCACTTCACAGTGTGGTCCTTGTGGGAGAGAGGTGTGGTTAAGTCCGGCCTGCAGACGGGCTCGAGCCACGTCCTCTTGTGGTGACACCAGGGCCTGGAGCACTGCCCTGCCCCCGGAGGACCCCACTCCAATTTGTAAACAGAAACATAAATAAAATGAGGGAGGAGGACCAGGACCCCAGGCTGTCTCATGGGAGCCTCAACAGAAACAGGACCTGCGGGGTCAGGGGACCGGGCTGGAGCCGCCCCCTGGTGCTGCAGGCAACAGGGCCCTGGTTGCCAGGGGGTGTGAGTCCCGTCTCCTCAGACCCACGCCTGAGGCTGCCAGGGGCCCCAGGTGGAGAAAGGGAGGATGGGGCATAAAGTGCGGCGTTTCCTGAAGTGGAGAGAGCGGGCAGAGGTGGAGGGCGGGGCAGGCTGACGTCGAGGTATATGGCTCTGTGCCCCACGGGGTTTGGCACCGAGTAGCAGCTGCCCCTGACCCTGGGCTGGGGCATCCCGCAGTCCGGCCAGGTGCAGGGAGTCGGGTGAGCAGAGTGCAACGGGTGCCCCGGCGGAGGCTGCTGGTGGGGGCGGCGTCCTGCCCGCTCTCTGCATCTCCCTGGGCAGCCCGCTGTGCCCAGCCATCCGATGGGTCCCTTGGTGGGCACAGCCACCTGGAGCTGAGCAGTGCCATGCGTGTGGGGAGGAAGGGGCCACCGCTCACCCCAGTCCTTGAAGTGTTCTGAGCAGAGGAGGCACTGCTCAAGGCCCACGAGGAGGGGAGGGTTGGGAAGACTGACGGAGGCAGGCCTTGTGGCAGCCCCAAGTCCAGTGTGGGCCACACGCGCCCGCCTGTGGCCAGGGATCAACAGGTCATCACGTTACAGCTGCAGGGGGAGACCGAGAGAGACAGGACAGGCTCAGTCCAGCCCCATGGACCACAGCTCAGGCGCCGGGGCTGGAACGTGGCCCCCGACCCTGCCTCCCCCAGCAGACGGTGCCTGCACGTGCTGACAGGCCTCCCAAGGCAGCACTGTCCTTGGCGCCCGGGGAGGGCTGGTGGCTGGGGTGGGGGTGGGGAGCCTGGCACTGGCCCCGTTTGTACCTTTTTGGATTTTGAACCATATGAATGTATTACCTAGTCAAAAAAATAAATAAGCCAAATTAAAAGTAGAGAATAAAACTAAAGAAACAAACAGCCTGCTCCACGTGGCCAGGCCACCCTGGGGCTCTGCGGGCAACCCCCCTCCCTTCGGCTTGGCCTGTGGCTGGGGCTCGGCAGCCGGGGTGCGGGCAGGGGAAGGGGCCGCACTCACTGTGACAGGGGCTCCGAGTGCAGCCCAGGGGCCGGACATGCTGGGTGGGCAGCCAGGAAGGGATTCACGTCCCCGATGCCGATGAGTCCAAACTCAGTGACCGACAAGGCCACCTGTGCAGGGGCCACGGCCTCCTCGGGCTCTTCGTCCATGTCCACATGGCTGGAGATGAGGGGCAGCTCCTCGGGAAGGGCCCCAGGCAGGGCCAAGTCCACAGCCAGCCTGGGGCTGGCACCAGGCTCCGGAGTGGCTGTGGCAGTAGGGTAGAAGGCTGGCTCAGCCAGGGCTGGGGGCCGCCGAGGCAAGGGCATAGGCGGGGGCGTATCCAGCTGCTGGATGGAGCGGGGCCCAGGCTCCAAGGATGGAAGGACCTCCCTAGGCTCGCCAGGACTGTCGGACGTGCTGCCCACACTCGGCGGCCCTGCAGGGAGAGCACGGCTACCGTCAGGCTCCGGCGGCACCCATGCCCAAGGCCTGCTCACCTAGCGTCCCATGTTCACCCCAGGCTGCCACCCGCATGGGGCTCCAGCCTGTTAGGCCCAGCAATGCCCAGGACCCTTCCTCACAGGATGCTTTCACACGAATGTGTAAAATACACATGGACCCAACAGAAACCCATCAACTGGAGGAGCACCTGGGCTGAGACAGAACAGAGTACACAGGCTCAGCAGGGCGGGGGAGCAGGAGCTCTGGGCACACCAGGGACCCAACCCAGCTCTGCAGCCAGGACGACAGAAACCCCATGTCCACATCCAGCAGACCCAGAGAGCACAGGCCCCTGTCCCCTCTGTGGTCGCCTTCAGAAGCTGAAGTCGCCACCAGGCCTCGTCTTACTCCACTCCCCAGGACGCAGGAGCGGGCTCCCACCCACCAGGTCTCCCAGGTGAAGGTGGAGGCTCAGCTCCCAACCTGGGCCGAGCGGAGCCCACACTTTGGACCCCAGGCCACACATGGTTCCCAGATACGGAGAGCCAAAGAGCCCTGAGAACAGCTCGTGTGTGACTCCCCACAAGACATCTGTGAGACCGCGGTAGGGGTGCAGGGGCACGGGATCCCAGATGCCGCTCTCCGGGGCCCAGCAGCCCCGGCTGGGGTGCCAGTGAGGAAGGGGCCCCAAGGACAGGGGTCCCCTCTCACCTGCGTGCATCCGGGCCAGCGGGTCCTGCTCAGGGCCCAGGCTGTCGGCAGCAGCGGGCAGCGGGGGCGAGGAGCGGGGGCGGCCAGGGCCATCGGGGTCAGCACCGTCCAAATCTTGGTCCACGTCCCTGCAGGGGAGGATGTGTGATGGGCTGCAGGGGGCTGTCTCGGGCAGGAAGTGCCTCCCCCTCCCCGTCCCGGGGCCTCACACGCACGTGGTTCCCAAGGGCCGTACTTCCTCCGGCCCAGCCGCGTCTGCTGGGAGAAGTAGTCGTAGCGCTCCGACTTCTTCCACAGGTAGTAGTACTCCACACACTCGCCCACGGACCGCGTGCGCACCTGGGGGTGGCGCTGGGCTCAGCTCCCCGGCCCCCACCTGCCCAGGCCCTCCGCCACCCAGGACAGCAGGCGTGGGTGATGGCACCCTCTGCTCTGGGACAGAGCGAGACCCTGCCCCTGGCCTCCGGCCCCTCGGCCTCAGTATAACGTGCCCCCAAGGGCCCCACCACTGCTCCTGCTCTTTGCTCCAGGTCCACACAGCCAGTGCTCAGCCCCTTCACCCCAGACCTAGGGCCCCCAGGGAAGACTGTGTCCACTTGTGCCCGGCTCCTCACAGGCCCACTGGAGTGGGGACGGTGACCCTGTGCAGACCACAGGGACAGAGTCCCGGCCCGGAAAGCACATGCATCACTGATACTCCAAGGGAGAGCCATCCGGGCGAGGGCACTCAGGGTCCATGAACCCAGGCTGAGGTCACGTACCACGTGGCATGAGAAAGCCAACACCTTGGGAAGACGAGGATGACACCACCAGCCTGCGTCTGGCATGAGCCCAATGCCACCGCATATCTCCAGCGGCGACTGGGTGTCTCCCCACTCCAGAGGCTCAGCCACAGCACCCACAGTGGCAAATCCACCACAGACAGCAAGAACCCGCCACCTCCCAGGATGGGGGCCCGACACCTGTGCCGGGCACAGGGGCGTATGTAGGCTGTCCGGTCTCCCTGGGGAGACCCCACATCCACTGATCCTCCTAGGAGGAGGGAGGAAGGCCAGTGCAGCCTCCCGGGGCCAGTTTCGAGGCCGACTAGAGACTTGCCAGGCATGGGAAGCCACCAGGCACTGGCAGGGCAGGAGGGTGCGTGGGATTCAGGGGGTCAACGAAACAAAGGCAGATGGCATGGGCTTCTGCACGGGAGCCACCTGCACCGCGGGGCAGGCGCAGGGGGGCTGCTGGGCACCAGTCTTACCAGAGGACTAAGCGCTGCCTGGACAGCACCAGGTCTGGTCGGGCGAGAACCATCCCTGCCCCCACACCAGCCCCAAGCGGCACCTCATCCTCTCCGACCCCCAGGAGGAGAGCTGAGGCCCCAGACAGGAGGCTGGGATTGGCCAGACCTCGCTTCCCCACCGCTGTGTCCTGCGAAGAGTGGGAAGGGCCAGGGCTGCTGGGCCCAGAAGGGCAGGACAACAGACTGGGGCAAAGGGCAAGGAGGGACAGCTGCTGGGAGACAGCCAGAGGGACATTCAGGCTCTCAGACAAGCCACGGGAGCAGAACCAGACAGACATCCAGGGCTACAGGCCAGAGAGCCAGAGCCCCACCAAGGCGTCAACTTGGGCATTGTTATGCAGGAAACCACAGGCGTCACCCCGGGACGCAGGAGGTGCGTCCCTCTCCTGCAGTGGGGGGAAGCTGACAGTGCCATCCCCCAGGCCCCCCACCCGTGGAGCCCCAGCCCCGCCCCACCACGGGGCTCACCTTGTTGGCCTGGATCAGGTGGAAGTTCTTCCCATGCACGCGGAAGCCATGCTCAAAGTTGCGGCTCTCCTCCTCGCTCCAGGCACAGAGCCCGTCTGCAAGGAGAGGGCAGCGGGGTCAGCGGGGTCGGATGGGCGGCGGGGGCACCGGGGCTGCCACACTCACCTCGGATCACCTTCACGTTGAACCGCAGGCGCCGCAAGGCCTCCTCTGCGTTGAAGTTGCACTTCACCAGCTCGTACAGCGCCTGGGGATGGGGGTCTCACTGACTCTCCCACCTGCTCACCCCGGAGTGACAGCAGGGTCGTCCGCACCCACCATTTCCCCAGGACAAGTGGTTTTCACTTGAATTCATGACCACGTTGGTCCATATTGGGTGGGAGTCTCATGGCAGGCTCCCCACCACTCCACACACCCCAGGCCCTCTGTGCCCGCCCTCCCCTCACCTCTGCCGCGGCCTGGCCCTGGAGGCCTGTGGCCCCTCTGCACGGCCAGGCAGCCCCACCTGCTCACTGTCCTTCACCGTCTCTCCCTCTGGGAGCTGAGACCCGGCAACCTCGTGCCACCGCCGCTTTACCGCCCGGTACAGGAACTCCTCCACCTCCCTCTCAGGAAGGACGTTGGGGTCCCAGAGCAGCTGGTCCTCGTTCTCATAGACTGCAGAAGGGGCCAAGGTCAGGCTACAGGCCCGGGTCTGCACCCACATCTCAGCTACACAGTCCCCTCTGAGGGCAGGTCAACTCAGCCCCTCCAGAGGACAAGAGTCCGCCTGGTAGCCTGGGCCCGCCACCACCCTGCCCTGCAAGGTGATGACAAACAGGAGGCCAGAGGAGTGCTGCCCAGCCAGGACCAGAGCCAACCTCCTGGAGGAGGCAGCTACAGCCTGAGTCGGGGGGGGGGGGCTTCTGAGCATGGCCTGTGAGGAGGGGCTGGAGGTGACGAGTTCAGGGGAACAGCAAGAAGGTCCAGTCCTGACTGCAGCCCCAGTGACCTCGCTGGGACAAGAGCTCCTCCAGCTGCCACAGTCCCTCGAACCCAGCATCACACAAGCCAGGGAGGGGAGGCAAGGGGGTCCTGCCCTGGGGCAGCAGGAGGGCAGGGGCACGAAAGAGGGACAAGAAGGGGCAGCGTCCAGCTGAGGGAAGGCCGAGGAGGGGAAGAGGCAGAAGGGCCAGGCCTGGATCAGCCCCGGTGCCAGCACCTCTCCATCATCCAGGGGAGGGTCACGGGGACCAAAGCTCCAAACAAAACACCCGGTGCAGGGGCCCAAAAATGGAAAGCAGCCCCATGCCAGCCTCCCTCTCGTAGGGAGTGGACAAGGGACCAGTGGCCTCCCCTTTCTATCTCCGAAGTCCACACCGAGGCCCAGTCTGGACTGAGGGCTCAGACCCAGTCCCTCTGCAGGCCCCTCTGCAGAGAAAGTGTCGCCTTCCACTACAGCCGCATGGAGGGGAGAGGAAGATCACGTGACAACATGGCGCTCCACCGACAGCCAGTCCCAGCGTGAGCAGGCAGGACTCTGAGATAACTGTGACGAATGTGTTGAAACATGACAGGGCTAAGGGCAACGTGACTGGCAAGCTGGAGAACACCAGCAGAGAACTGAGACCCACTCCCACGGACACTCCAGGACTGGAGACTAGTGTGCGGACTCACGAACCCATGCTCACAGCAGCAGAGCACACGGTCAGTGAAAGCAGAAAGAACTTCATTTAAAAAATCAAACTGAAGCTTAAAGAGAACACAGCCTGGGGCAGGTGCAAGAGTCACAGAGGACGAGGACATAGCGTGGGCCGCCACCGAACCTGAAGAGATAAGGGCCAGGAGTTCTGCAGAGCTGATGACACCGGCTCACAGAGCCCAGAAACAGGGTGAGTACACAGAAAGCCACGTCGAGGCATGCCAGAGTCGAAATGCCAGAAACAGGAGGAAAAGCACGTGGGAAAAAATCGAACACGATTTCAGAGGAAAGAGGACAGACGGCTGACTTTAACAGAAACAACAGACAGCAAAAAACAACAAAATTATGTAGTTAAGTGTTGAAAGAATAAAGCTTGCAAACCTAGAAATCTACGCCTATGAAAATAGCCTTCAAAACTGAAGCAAAGATGATACTTTTACGACAGACAAAAGCTGGAAGCACTCATCGCCCTGAGCATGGACGGGACACACTGATGAGGCCACCCCAGGTGGTGGGAGCTGTGGCAGAGGACGGCCGGCGCTGGGACCCCGGGACGAGTGCAGGCAGCACCCAGGGCAGGAGAGCTGGGGCCAGGCTGCATCTGCCTGCGAAACCAGGGCAACTGCTGAAACAGTCATACAGAAATGAAAGCTGAAGAGCTCCGAGAGGAGGAAAAACAGTAACACTACCTGATGAACCAAAAAGAAGCCAAGACAACACAAAGGAAGGGAGAACAGGCAGACAAGTCGCAAACACTGAGAGGCCGGCAGATGCCAGCCCTCTGCTCCACGACACGGGACGTGAGCACTGGACCAAATGGTCACACACAGACAACACGTCAGACCCAAACACACGCTATTCACAAAACCACACTTCAAATCTCACAACACAGAGAGGCAGAGACACTAGACAGACAGACAGCACGGGGCGCGTCCACCACAGCTGACCCCAGAGGCCGAGTCACAGCACGGCCTCTGACCACAGTGGCGTCCAACTAGACCTCGGCAGCAGAAGGGTAAAAAGCAAACCCTAAATGTCTGAGAGTTAGCGGAACACTTCTAAATAACCACGGCGCAGAGGAGGCGTCGCAACGGAAACCAGAGGGGACAAAATGAAATTGAAGAGACAGAAAGAAGCAAGATGAAAGTAAAAGTCAGTCAAGTAGAAATCAGATGACAGAGAAATCGACAAGCCAGAGTCAGCGCCTCGCGAAGAGTAGCAACGCTAACAAACCACTAACGAGACTCATCAAGAGGGAACTAAAAAGCAAAAAACACAAATTACCAGTATCAGGACTCAAAAAAGGGACAGCACTATAGGTCCTACACACACCAAGAAATAAGAGGATGTTATCAACTTTCTGCCAATAAAGCCAACAATTTAGGTGAGTGTGATAAACGCCTCAGAAATACAACTCATCACACCAGGAAGAGAAACTCTAAACGCTGAGATTAAATAAACTGAATTCATAATTAAAGCCTTACACAAAAACAAAACTGAACTAAACGCCAGGCACCTAAAGAAGAGACAGTAACAACCTTACAGGAACTCTTCCAGATGCCAGAACAAGGCTCTTCCAAACACACGTCATGTGGACCCAGAACCCTGAAACCAAAGCCCAACAAGGAGAAGAAAGAAGGAAAACGACAGGCCAGAGTCGCCATGGACGTACTCGCAAACACCCTGAAGTCCGCAGACCGAGGAACGGATGCAGGAGTGAACAGCACACCTCATCTCCTGTCAGAAAGGCAAGGGCGCTGCCCGGGGGGCAGGGGCCGGGGGTGCGGAAGGGGCGCTGCCCCGGGGGCCGGGGGCGGGGGGGTGCAGAGCTGGGGCCTGAGAGCCTCTAGGCAGAACAGTCCCTTGTTTAAGGCGAGTCTGTTTACAGGTGCCCTATTTAGCACAGCAGCCCTGCGCTCACAGCCAGCAGCCCCGTAACTCCCTTGTGAACAAAGGCCACAGCCTCCTTGAGCTCAGGACACCAGGCCTCAGCCCCACCCTGGGGGCCTTTCAAACAGCAAATCACAACAAACAGCAAAATGTGAAAGCACAGTGTCAAATACCAGTGGGTGAGCCATGCTGGCAGCTGAGAACTGGGAAGAGCAGGGAGGCATCTCCTGGCTCGCCCCTGGCCAGGCACACGTTGCACCCACACCGCAAGCTTTCCACCTTGTGCACACGTGTGTGTCCACAATGGACCATGAAAGCACTGCCAGTGCTAACTTTGGCCTTACACGTTTTAGCCATGCGCAGAGGTGCAAGTACAGAACTGACTATACACACACGCCATAAATGATGCTCCTTCATGACCTGGCAGCGCTGACTCCAGAATGCACAGCTGGCCTGAATATCAGGATACTACGTTAACAGGGCAAGAGACAGAAAGGACCATCTCAGGAAATGCAGAAAAATAACCTGACAAAATTGATGGCAAAAATGGGTCGGCTACAAAGAACAGCGAGGAACTCCCTCACCTGATAAAGGGTATCTACAAAAATCCTCAGCCAACATCGCGCTTAATGGGGACAGACTGAACACGTCCCCCCAGGTCTGGGAAGACGACAAAGGAGCCCCCATCACCACTTCTCACTTCCGTACTGGAGGGAAAATCAGCGCAATAAGGCAAGAAAAAGAAACACCACCTACAGAGGTCACAGAGAAAGAAGCTACAGTATCTCAAATGATGCAATGTGTGCATTGAGAAGTGCACAAGCATCCACAAAGTATAAAAATTGGTAAGTGAATTTAGCCAAATCACTGTGTCCAAGATCAATTAAAATAATAAAATGCAGTTCTGCCAGCAAGGGTCACAGGACTGTCACACTGAAAACCCTAAAACACTGTCGTAACTGAAGAAGACCCAAACATATTCATGGACTGGAAGGGTCAATGCTGTTAATGTATCAGTTCTCCCCAAGTTGTTCTAAAGATCCAGTGCAACTCTGATCAAAATCCTAGCAGGCATTTTTGAGGCAAACGACAGCTTATTTGAAAGCTTTTGTGGACAAACAATGAAAGTTGCAAAGGTCTCAGACTTACTTCAAAGCTGCAACAATTCAGGCAGAGCGGTAGGGACCCAGGGTTAGACACAAAGAGAACAATGGAAGAGAAGCGTGAAAAAGCAGACGTGTGCCCAGACATCCCATAAAGGCACCACTCCAGCTCAGAGAGGGGAAGGAGGGACTTCTCCATGCACAGTGCACGGAGCGGGGACCAACCCTGACCCACACCTCCAACCACCCGTTAGAAGAAATCAGGCTAGACCACAGACTTCGGCGTAAGGGGGAAGTAAAGCAGCGTATCTTCAAAACACGCAGACGCCTAGGCAGCAAGCAGACACGTCACGGGTGAAACAGATCAGCTGGGCTTCACTGAAAGGAAAGCTGCCGCCAATGGGCAGAAAAGCGCTCGCAGCGCACACAGCCAACAAGGCGCTAACATGCAGGGCACAGAAAGGACCCCCATTCCAGGGGAAAAGTGACCCAGCTTAAAGGGGGAAGGCCTCAGCAGGCCCTGTACGTGAATGAACCCAAGTTAAAGCACAGCGGGCACCACTCCACACCCACCAGGAGGGCTGAAACCCACCAGACACACAACACCAAGGGCAGGTGAGGGTGCGGAGCAATGGGAATCCCCATGCTGCTGGCGGAGCCGGGGGCAGCGCCCACCGATGACTCACAGTCAGCTCCCCAGGAAGGAGAGCGTGTCCAGCAAAGACACACAGAGACACTCACAGCCACAACCACACACCACCGTTAACGACCAGCAGCCGCAGGATGCACCCGCACCCCAGCGCACAAGGTGCACGCTCCGCACGGGTGGTCCGGTCTCATGCCACACAGAGGGAGAGGCCCGCTCCTATCCTCACGGCACAAGGGCGGGCGTGCAGGAGAGGAAAGGGTAGCCCGTGGACTCTAGGGCTCGGGATCCTCCAACAAAGCGGCTAAGGCGTGCGCACATTTTCTGGGGGAGGGTCCTATGCACCATCAGATTCACAGAGGTTCATGTCCACTGCCTGGGACCCAGCTTAGCCGCGCCTTCCTGGCCCCTGCCCTTTACAGAGCAAGAGTATCCCACAGACCCCATGCCCCGACCTCTGGCCCCAGGAGGTCTTGATGATTTTTCTGAGTCCTCGTCTCCCTCTTCTGTCCCCCCCCACCATTCCAGATGGACGAGCAGGTGCAGCAGCCCTGGGGTGCAGGGAGGGGCAGGGAGGGGACACCCACCCTCAGGCTGCCTGGCAGGCCAGGCAGGCCCCTGACCCGGGCTGGGACCCGCACACCCCTGCCTGAAGGGCTGCGGGTTGCATTTCCTCCCCCCGCACCCCCAGCTCCCGGGCCCCACTTACTCTTCTCACCGGGGCGGTTCAAGTGCAGGTTGCTGAGGTCAGCTTGGAACTGAGGCCCAACCATGATCTCCTGCAAAGACACAGGCCCGGGAGTCAGGGGGGACAGGGGCACTGAGGGGCCGCTGCCCAGAGCTGGGCCTGGGTCAGCCTGTGCACCCTGCCTGCGGACCCTAGTCCTGTGGCGTGAGGGCAGGTGTGTGTGGGTGTGAGTGACTGTACGTCTGGCACAGCCAGTCACAGGGCAAGGCAGCAGGGCCCCTCCCTGGCTCCAGGCCCCAACACCGAGGTCGAGGCCACACACCTTCTTACACTTGTTGGCGGGAAGTGGGTCCTCCTCGGTGTCTGATGAGGTGGAGGAGCCAGGCTCCTTGTCCGCATCAGCCAGGAAGCGGGCTTTGGGGAGAGAGAGGAAGTGATGGAGAGTAGATGCGGGAGTTGGGTGGAGGCCCAGGGGTCTCCACCCAACTCTCCACCGTCCTGAGAGGCGGCTGGACCCCAGCCCTGGCCAGACAATGGGGCGTGAGGGATGTGTGCCCAGACAAGGAGCACAGAAGCAGGACCATGGACCCCAGGCCAACCCCCCACGCCTCACGCTGCCAGCACAGCCTCTGCTGAGGCACACAGGGGCAGAGTGGAGGGGAGCACGGTCTGAGGACACTGCCCGGGTCTAAGGGACTTTCGGCTACAGGACCCAACAGGTTCCCTGCTCACGTGAACCAGGTCACTCAGCCTCAGTGCACAGTGGGGCAGGAGCAGCTCCCCCAGGGCTGTGCCCCAGCAGCCGGGACCCCCTCCGTCTGCCCACCCAGGGGCACGAGTGGGTGGGACCTACATCCACTCTGATCAGGGAAAAGGTCGGAGGCCTCGTGGGAGGTCACGGATGGGGTGAGGTCATCGGCCGAGGACTGTGTTTCTTCCTCTTCTTCCCCTGAAAGCAAATCCTTCGCTATTTGTTCCTTTTAACAAAAGAGTAAAGAACATTTTTGCAATTTGCTTTAACGATTTCAAATAACATTGACCATGACAATAGTAATGGTGGCAACACGGACGCACCTCCCTCTAGGGGCACCGAGGGCTCCCACGGGGCTGGGAAGGAGCCAGGGGACCAAGCCCACAGCCCTGCAGCCCCAGAGGGGATGTCACCTCCGCCCAGGACTGAGGACAGTCAGAGCCGTTCCCTGAGGGGCTCTCCCTCCCTCCTGACCCGGCACAACCTGCCCAGGACCTGGGACCCAGGAGAGACCCGGGCTGCGTCTCTCCAGGTCAGTCTGCACTTTGCTCCTCCTTCAGCCAGGGGTTCTCTCCGGCCTGGCCCCTCCCTGCGGCTGCACCAGCTGGGACGCCGGGCAGAAGAACAGGCCTCACACATACTCACCACGTCTACCTCTCAGGGCCTTCCTGCCCGCCCACCCCAAATGCCCCCATGGGGTCCAGGGAGGGACTCCACTCACCTTGTCCAGGGTCATGTCCGGGAGGGGGGCTGTGGCATCGCTGCCCTCGCTCTCGCGCTCCGAGATGGGGTCGGACGCCTCATAGCCATAGAGGGCCAGCAGCTCCTCAAGGGGCATGTCGCCACTCTGGGGGGACAGGGCTCCGTCAGGAGGGGCTGCTCTGGGGTCTCTGCTTCCCCACCTCTTAGCCCATCTGCCCCACACCAGTCACAGTAACTCACCCCAGCCAGACCCCAAGCCCAGCCACTCATCTAAGAACCCCTTTACAGCCCAGGAGGGGCTCCAACGAGACACCAAGCCCAGAGAAGTCAGCTGTCCGTCCAAGGTCACCCGCCTTCAAGGGTGGAGCCAGTGGTCTCACAGTCTGAAGCCCACACTCCCCCCTCCCTGGGCAACACTGCCCGGCACAGGCCTGTACAAACTTCATTCAAGCAACACTTGGACACTCAGAGTCTGGAAATAAACCAGAAGAGGGGAAAAACACGGCCCTTCGGTGACTGTAAAAAGGTATCTGGTCAAACCAACATCACTTCTGACTTTCTGAAAAACCTCAGTAGACTGAGAGATGGGCATTGCTTCCCCTCGCTGAGCCAACAAGGCGGGGACAAAGCAGCCCCACCACAACCAGATCCAGAAGGGAGGCTGAAGAGCAGCAGGGCTAGCGAACGCTGCTCTGACACGTGGAGCCAACACACCACCACAAGAAACAGGAACGAGAAGTCACGTCTGGGAAGGGAGAGACAAAAACCATCGCCACCACCCACTCCAGTATTGCTTTCAAACCCATTTCTCAGCCCGCATGTAAACCTTGACTCCTCGAGGCAGGGCCGCTACCGTGCTCCATCCTGACCGGGTGGGTCACTGCCAGCCTCCTGGACAGGCCTCCACCCCATCCTCTACCCCGGGGGACTTCAGGTCCACGTGGAAGGCAACTCCCAGGGCAATACCCGTTGGCACCTGCACTGAAGCTGACTAGCAGAGGCTGCCCCAGGCAGCACCAACGAGCATGCCACGGGATGGCGAGTTCACTCGCACTTAAGAACATCCTGTAATTTCCACATAAAATCGTGAACTCTGTTAAATCTCTCCCCAGGCAGACGTCATTTCACTCTTCTGCAGGAGGAAGCGGGAAGCTGGAACACGCAGCCCAGGAAGGTGCAGACTGGGAGGCGCCCCGAGGGCACCGAGCTGCATGCCCAGCGGGAGACCTGGGCGCACACTGAGTTCTGCCGGGCACAGGGCAGCCAACATCTCGGACACGAGCCACGGGAGCTAGACTTCTGGAGAAAACACTGACTGTGCTTGCTGCCAGAGTGAAACTCGAGCTTTTGAGCAGAAAGTTCTAGTTTTGGAAAACCTGGATGTGACAACATGAACTCGATAATCCCAATTTCTGCTGGAAGATTATATAAAAAGCAGGTGTTTCTGCTTTTACTTTGGACATTACATTCTTTTTCTTACTCAATTTTTAAAAGTAATACGTGAAAAAAATTCACATGAGGTATTTAGCTAACGAATAGCTAAATTTTCTTTGGTTAGCTTCCAGAAGTTCTGAATTCAAGTTGAACGTTTTTTCCATCGGTTTTTCTTTTTCGAAGAAAAGACATTTGCTTTGGTTATGAGACCAAACAGGCAAAAGTGGCACACAGCACCAAGCTGAATAAAGGGCCCACGGTGATGCCTTAACAAGTCTCAGTACTCAGAAGACCCCTGGTGAGATCAGGGTCGACGTGTTACGGACTGAGCGCTTGTGTCCCCACAAACTCATGCAGTGAAGCCCCAACACGACTGTATCTGGAGACGGAGCCTTTATGGAAATAACCAAAGTGAATGCAGCCTCTCAGACGGAGCCCTGATCCGACGGGATTAGTGTCCTCAGAAGAAGAGACACCAGAGAGCCTGCTCGCTCCTCCACGTGGGGACAAGTGACAAGGCGGCCATCCGCAGGCCGGGAGACAGGCCCCACCAGGGGCGCCCACCAGGCCTCGGTCTGGGACTGCCAGCCTCCCAGACAGCAAGAAAATACAGTACTGTTGTTTAATCCCTAGTTTATGGTGTTACCAGACATGAGATCTTAAGCCCCAGTTTGCAGTATTAACAGATGTAGGATTTCTAGCTTTTCTACGTGAGCTCTGTCGGCACATGACAGACTTACATGTCACTGAGCCAACACCCTGCAAACGACTCATCAACGCAGCCGGTGACAAGACCACACCAGAGGAGAGCCGTCCCTAGTTCAAGACCACTGGGCCTTAACACCAAGGACAGCAACTGCACCAGGCGTGGCTACTGCATCCACTCCACAAAACCACCACCTGCTTAATTTTGGTGCAGCTCCACAGAATATCCACAGTCGTCTGAAAAGACTGTTGGATACTCCTCCCTTCCCCAAGACAAACTCATGAGGCTAGAGTGCAACCAAAAGAACCAATCACAACAGGCTAACATCTGCTTCAAAAGACAGCATGCACAAACATCTACAGAAATGTAAAACTAATCCACTTTTTGCCCTAAATTTTTTTTTGTTTTGGAAAATAGTTATTTTTCACTTTCATAAAAATATGTTATTTCTACTAACAATAGCTTTATTGTGTCACTTACATAAACAAACTCCTTGAGATCCTCAATAGTTTTTAAGAGCACAAAAGGGGTCCCAAGACCAAAAAGTTTGAGAATATTGGGTTTACTGTCTGGCCACCCCTCTGGCCTAGAGCCTTCATGCTCCACGAAGGCGGGACCAGGTCTGGCCCATCCTGACCTCAGTGCCCAGCACAGTGTCTGGCCCTCTGGAAACAGGGGCATGGGCTGCTCTTGTCACCGTGGAGTCCGAGAAGCCTGGAGACTAACTTGGTCGAGTGGTCAGCTGTGAAGCTGCCCAGCGTGCTCCGCCCACCCAGGTGGGGTACAGCCCAGCCCAGTACTCAGAAGACGAGGCCCTTCCCCGCCCACCCAGGCCGGGGACAGCCCAGCCCAGGACCCGGCAGATGAGGTCCTTCCCCGGCCCACCCAGGTGGAGGACAGCCCAGCCCAGGACCCGGGAGACGAGGTCCTTCTCCAGCTCCTCTTCCGGCTTCTCGGGGACCCTCGTGGCCTCCTCACACTCCTCCCGGAGGCTGTAGCTCTGTGAGAGGATCTCTGTGAGGCTGAACTGATGGTCTTCAGAGCCCATGGACACCACTGCAGAGGGGACAGCAGACTACATGAGCTCCTTGCCCACTGTCCCAACCATCATGCTGAGGCTGAGGACGACCAAGTGGAGGAAACCCAGGGGCCCAGCCGCCACCAGGGACGAGGCCCACGGTGTGTGCACACAGGTGCCTGTGCAGGTGTGCAGATGTGTGCACACGTGGCCAGGCGTGTCTGTGCCTGCCGTGGTCAGCACGTCAGCCCACTGCGTGGGAATGCCCCACAAAACGACTCCTGGCAGAAGGGCCCGCCTGCTAACCACACACAGATTCTGGGACCTGGGGGTGTGTTCTCCCAGAGGGACTGCTTGGAGACTAGGGGGACAGTCTGGGCCACTCTGCCCGCACACCCCGGTCCTGGACTCTGGGGCTCTGTCAGGCCGAGTGAGATCCCGTCTCTCACAGAGCAGAGGCCCTGGTGCCCTGCGCGGGAGGAAGCAGGGCGAGGAAGGTACCTGCTGTTGTCTGCAAGCCAGGCTCAGTGGGGCACAGACCGCGAGAGAGGCAAGAGGCCACGCGAGGGCCCTGCCTCTCCAGTGAGGAGGCCTGTGAAGAAGAAAAGCAGGTTAGCCACCATCTCGAGGTCAGAGCCCTGCTCCCTGGGGACATCAGGTCCCCAAGGGCTGGAGGGGGGGCTCCACACATGGGACTGGGCGTGCGGCCTCGAGAAGGGACTCCTGGCTCCTGAGTCAGAGGACGCGTGGCAGCTCCGGAACCTCGGCTCCACCTCCAAGTGGGAAGACAGCACCCAAGGGCCAGGGTGAGCCTGGCATGGCCGGCACCCAGCTGAGTTCACACTGGCCCCCACCCAGCAGGCAGACACTAAGGCCACGTCAACACAAAAGCCACCTCAAAAGGGTCCCAGCCTCCAGAAACCTGGCCTTCAAAAGGCACATAGTTGCTTTGGAGAAATCTGGCAATTCCTCCAAAGGTAAAAAGTTACCAAGGATCAGTAGTTAATTCTACTCCTATGTACGCACCCAGGAGAACCAAAAACATACATCCATGCTAAAACGTGTACACCCACATTCACAGAAACATGATTCACAACAGTCAAAAGGTGTAAACATCCACGTACCCAACAGCATGTGACAGATAAACACAATGTGGTCCATCGTATGATGAAATATTACTCAGCCCCAAAAAAGGAGAGAAGCCCTGACACCCGCTCCCACGTGGACAGATCCCGAGAGCACGGCACTCAGTGAGAGAAGCAGACACAGAAGGACACACAGCGTGTGAGTCCACGGATGTGAAACGTCCAGAACAGGCCAGTCCACAGACACAGAGAGGGGGCTCCTGGCTGTCAGGGGCTGAGGGAGATGGTGGGGGAATGACTATAATGGGGACAGGGTTTCCTTTGGGGATGTGGAATGTTCTAGAACTCGATGAAGGTGAAGGTTTCAAAACTCTGTGAACATACTGAAAACTACTGAATGAAACAACTTAGATGGGTGTATTCTGAGGTATATAAACTATACCTTAGATTTTTCCTAAACGCAAATAAAAGCATTATAACAGGTATCATCATCTCCATGTTCGGAAGTGTACTGAGAATAAGAAAACTAGACCAACACCTGTCACGAAGAGAAACACAAAACCCCTCAACAGAACACCAGCAAAGAGAATTCAGCAACATAGCGCCCTGGAGATGGTGGCGGAGAGGGACTCATCACAGGGACACAGACGTCAGCGTGAGTCACCCGCCCCATCACAGACCAGAGCACAAACCCAGGTGATCACCTCGACGGGGCAGGGCAAGCATTCAGCAAAGTTCAACACCCTTTCACGCTAAAAACACTCAACGGACTAGGACTGAAGGAGCTCCCCGCGGAAGGCATGACAGGACCCCAGCTCCAGCACCTCGGAAGGAAAGGCTGGCGGGGCCTCCCCGGGACCAGGGGCACCTCTCCTGCTTGACGTCATAACAGAGGTTCCATCAGGGCAGGAACACGAAATAAAAGGAACCCAAACTGGAAAGACTTCTTTCTGCAGGCATCATGAACTTGGACACAGAAGACACTAAAGAAACCTGAGCCAATAAACGAGTTCAGCAAGGTTGCAAGACACAAGAGCAGCAAGTGAAAGTCAATTTTATCCCTACATACTAGCAACGAACAATCCAAAAGGGAGGCAAGGAGAACAATTCCATTTACAAAGCAGCAGAAAGAATGAAACACTTCTGAATAAATCTAGCAGAAAAAGTCCAAAACTAATACTCTGGGAAACACAAAACATGTTGAAAGTAATTAAAAGGTCGAAATAAGTGGAAAGACATATTATATTCATAGCTCAAAAGACTGACTGCTGCTAAGATGTCAATATTCTTCAGTTCATCTACAGATTCAAGGGAATGCCTATCAGAATTTCAGTTGGCTTCGATGTAGAAACTGAGATTCCAAACAACATATGAAAACTTAGGACCCAGAAAAGCCAAAACAATCTTGAAACTGAAGAACAGTTTCTGATCTTAGAAGTACTCCAAAGCTACAGCAATCCAAACAGTGTGGTACTGACAGAAGGCTAGATATTCAGATCAAATTAACAGAATTGAGAATCCAGAAATAAACACATTTACAGTCAAGTGAATTTCGAAAAGGGTGACAGAAAAATTCAAGGGGAAATGAAAAGTCTCTCAAACGAATAGTGTAAGGACAACTGGACGTCCAAATGCAAAACACTGAAGTCAACCCTGTCTCACACCACACACAAAACTAGCTCAACACGGATCAGAAACCTTACATGTAAGGGCCCAACCTGTAAAACTCTTAGAAGAAAACAGGATAAATCTTCTGTTACCTTGGACTAGGCAATGGTTTCTTAGATAAGACACAAATAGCATAAGCAACAAAAGAAAAAAAAAGATAAAACTTCATCAAAATAAAAATTTTGATGCTTCAAAGGACATTATCATGAAAGGAAAAAGACAAATCACAGAACGACACAAAATATCTGCAAATCATACAGCTGAAAAGGGACTTGTGTCCAGACATACAAAGAACTCTCACAACTCATTAATAAGAAGACAACCCAATTTTTAAATGGGCAAAGGATCTGAATAGACATTTCTCCAAAGAGATACACAAAGGGCCAATAAGCAGGTGAAAAATCAACGCTCAACATCAGGAAAGCAAACCAATACCACGAAGACACAATCCAGGACCGGCTGTGGTCAGGTGATCAGGAAGCCAGCTGACAACGCCGGGGCGCTGGGGCGGGACAAGGGGCAGCTGCCAAGGAGCACCCCAGCAGCTCCCCAGAAGTCACAGCCAGAGGCGCCACACGACCCAGCAACGCCAGCCGGGGTGCACACCCAGGAGTCCGAGTGTGCACCCCAAACATGCCGCTCTGGCTCAGGGCCACCGCCCGCAGAAGGCAAGTGGGCAGAGAGGAGACGGGAAGAAAGACGGCCTTCCCTACTCCCCCCACGAGGCGCTGCCCTGGGATTCCTCGGCCGGCCCCATGTCAGGCCTCTGCAGTTACACTTATGATCTGCTGTTAAGATGCCGTGAAGCCCAAGCCCTGACCACCCCTCACCCGAGTTCTCCCGCGTGACGTGCGCCGCCTAGTCTCTCTTGCTAAATCACAGGGCCGCATTGGGGAGCTGAAGGGCAGAGGGAACACCCAAGAGAAATGAAAACACACAACTCCGCTGAAACCTGCTCACAGATGTTCTCAGCAGTGTGATTCACACGGGCCAATGGCGGACAGAGCCCTAATGACCATCAGCGGGAACAGCACTCAGCCACGAGGACGAGAGAGGCGCTGATGCTCGCTGCGGCTGGAGAACATGGTGCTCAGTGAGAGAAGCCAGACGCTCCTCCTTCAGGCAAGGGACACTGAGGTGCCTCCAGAGCTGGGCGGGGTTCCACGACCCCTCCCGGTACCCTGCTGGGCCAGCGACTGTGGTGGGAGGGGTTCTACGTGACCTCCAGGATGAGTCTGTGACATGCAGTGCAGTTTCCAACAGCCGCCACACTATGAGGAAGCACGAGCCCCAGGGAAAGGCCACACCAACAGCCACACTTGGATGAGGAAGCTTTCCTCCGCTGGAGTTGGCTCAGCCCCGCCACCAACCAACCACAATTACGTGAGAGACCCAGAGTGAAAACCGCCTGGCTGAGCCCAGTCCACCCTCAAACCATGAAAGGTAATTAAAGCCATCTTTGCTTTGAGAAAGTTTCGAGGTGATTCACCATGCAGCAGTAGCTAACCAGGACACCCTCCAGCCACCTCATCCTGCAGAGGCGTGTGGCCCCGCTGGACTGCCTAGCGCCTCATCCCTCCCTCTGACCGCTGTGGGCCCAGCGAGTGCACAGTAGCTAATCGACAAACAGGTTCCGCCTGTGCACCCACAAGTCCCAGTCTGGATGAACACAGTTAACAAACAAGTAACAAGTGTACCTGCACAGCACTGCGGGGAGAAAGCAGAGGGGGCTGCACAGCCAGGGGTCAGGGCGGGCCTCCATGGCAGAGGCCTGCAGGGCAGCAACAGCACCACGCAGCGAGTCCCTCTAAGGGCAGAGACTGCACGAGGAAACAGAAGGAGCCAGGGGGTGGAGTAAGGTGAGGGGAGATCAGAGATCCAGGGGGGAACACACCACCAGGCTGAGGGTCCAAGAAGGAGACACACTTTATCTCGGGACAACAAAGACACCAAGACAAAGATGGTGTGCTTGGGTTTTTCAGAGTTGAGCTGGTGCTGTGGGGAAAACAGTACGAAGCGTCTCCTCTCACCCTGCTCATGGCCAATAACCACAGGTACCCACTGCTTGGTTACAAATCGCCATTTTAACAGATTCAAGACAGCTGGCTCTCAGTGACTGTATAGGGTTCAGCTTCCCTGTGCAAGCTCAGAGCCAAGATCTCCTGAGACCTCCTCATTTCAGTGGGAGTGACCAGCCCAAGGTCACACAGAGTAAGAGGTCCAGAGCCACAACAGGTATCCTGGGCAGAGGCTGGCTACGCTCATCACCACTGGCATGTGCACACCTGTCATCCTTTACAGACCAGCATTCCTCTGACCATGTCTGCTGGCTGCCATGGAGCCAGACACACAGGCTTTCTTTTAGGAAACCACCTCAAACTCACTCAACAGGCACCACCCCAAACTGTACACAGAAGTAGTGGGAGCACCCAGACCTGGCTGCCATGGGGGCTCCAGGGCTCTGCCCTGACAAGGCAGAGTCAACAGCCAAACCCAGCAGCTCTCAGGAGAGGCTGGCTGGGAACTCTGCCCCATCCACCTGTGACTCTCAGCTACCTGCCCGGCCAAGAATGCTGGCCCTTGAGCCAGACGCGCACACAGACCACCATGCCCCTGCTGGGCCATCATGAGACCTAGCTTCTGCCTCCATCCACAAGTCCAGGCACGGCCCCCATGAGGCCTGTTTCCCTAAACACCCCAAGGAAGGAGAACTACTCTGGAAGGACCCTTTGGGTCCAGCAACACAGCATAAGGCAGGAGCTGGCTGAGGAAGCCTGGCCTTGCGCTGAGATGCCCACACCCTCTGGCGCAAATGCAGGGCCTGTTGTTGCCCCTGAGAAGGTCACCACCCTCCACAACGTCTACCCAGCTGTGCCGGGGGGCGGGGGGGGGACACCCACGTGGCCCCGTGACCAGGCGGATCAACCCAGGATCCTGCTGCACCCCGTCGGCGCGTGCCTGCTCCTCCCGGGTCTCGGGTCTTGGCTCTCGGCGGCCCCGCCCACCGGGACGCGCACGGCTGAGCCCGTGCACCGGCTTGCCGTCCCCAGACTGAATGTCGCGCGCTGACTCCCTAGCAAGCGCGTTATCTCACTTCACCCCCACTAGAGTCCTGGAGGGTGAGAGCAGGTCCGCACTGTCTTGTTCAACATTCAGAAAAGCCCCTGAAAGTTTTTCTTCCTGATCCGATCAGACATGAAGCTACACGGTGTCTGTATCCCAGACGGTCCTAGGTGAGTTTGCTCAAGCATCACAGTTCCAAACCCCAAAGATCCCCAAGCCGGAAAAACTACTAATTACAAAGTCTATCTGGCCCCAGGGATTTCGGGGAAGGAAGGGGTCTTGGGCCTGCTTTCCGGACAGGCGAGGCTCGGAGAAGTAACTTCAAGCCGCGGGTAAA